CTCCCATCTCTGCTCCCTCCTTTGTTTTTGCGCCTACCTTCAGGAAAGGCGGGCATTTCTGCCTCTCTCTCTCTCTCTACCTAGGGCCGCCTCTGTTCATACTGGAGCTTCACACACGAGGCCTTCTCATACCAAGGCCTACCTCAAACTGAGGCTTTTCTCCCATTGAAACCTTAAAACACTGAGGGCTCTCAGACTGATGCCTCCCTCACACTGAGGCAAACTGAGACTGAGGCCTTACCTCACACTGAGGCGTTTCTCCCACGTAGACCTCTCACAGACAGACCTCATAAGCTACAAGCACACCTGCTCATATTGAATTGCAGCTTTGCTGAATCATTACATCCATTTCACCCTTTCAGTGCTTGATTCACATTCTTATAATTAAAAATACCTAGTTAATTTTTAATACTTCTGACACATATTATGAGTTAATTGAATGTTAGCACTCTTAAATATCTACCCAAATCACCATTAGGTATCGCTCCCAGTGGCGCAGTGGGTTAAACCCCTGTGCCGGCAGGACTGAAGACCAACAGGTCGCAGGTTCGAATCCGGGGAGAGACAGATGAGCTCCCTCTATCAGCTCCAGCTCCTCATGCGGGGACATGAGAGAAGCCTCCCACAAGGATGATAAAAACATCAAATCATCCAGACGTCCCCTGGGTAACGTCCTTGCAGACGACCAATTCTCTCACACCAGAAGCAACTTGCAGTTTCTCAGGTCACTCCTGACACGACCAAAAAAACCCAAAACATTAGGTATAAAAGTATAGCATTAATGTCCACTCTTCTATTTCTTCTGTAGGGTCATTTATATTTCCCTAAGGAGTTTTGTAGGCATAGATGTCTTTTTCAGGCTGTGCATTATGTAGGCAGTATTAGAAAACCTTAGAAATCAATATGAATCTTCTTGGATCTCATTATGTTGCCAGCAGAAAACAAGTATTTCCTCTGAATAGCCTATAATAAAGCCTTTTCTTCTTTCTGTTTCCAGGAAAACTACACAAAATGTTCTCCCGGTTAAGAATAGCTGCTGCTCCTTGCGCCTTGGGATGCCGTGCAATCCATAGAAAAGAAAAGGGCAAGCTCTTGATGTTGAACCCCAGAACAAATAAGGTTAGTTATCTCCATGTATGGCATGCCACATTTTGAATCAGTCAGTGTTGTCAGCCTTAATGCAGCCTGACACTTGCTACAGAAATAGGGTTGTTTTATGTTGAATGCCAAAAACCAACTAAGATAGGAGAGCCCGTATACTGAACAAAGCCAGAAGGACCTCATTTAACCTAGAATACTTTTATTAGCTTGATTGGCATGTAATAGATCTGCTTTTTGCAATATTAAGTAGATCCTCTTAGCAGTGAGTATAATAGAGAATAATCTCTTGTACTTGTGTTACTAAACTACTGGTTACTAAACTGCGTGTTTCCATGGGATGTTTAGATCAGTTAACAAAGTGGCTTAAAACACAGCTTTTTTGAAGTATTGCTGTAAGTTTGGTTATGATAAAGCCTTCAATTTCAGCAGGCTGAGGACTGATAAAAGGTATTTGGGGGCCCATCTACACTGACCATATAATGCAGCCTGGGGTGCAAGGAAGAAGAAGGCAGGTACTGGGTCAGTAGGAAGGATGTATTGCAGGTAGTGGATTGAGAAAGAAGAACCCACAGGGATAAAACGGAGTAGCAAGGGAATAGAGATGGAAAGCTGCTGCTAATGACAACTGCGGTCTTGCTGGTCTGATCAACTGCACCTTTTGCCTGGCATTGGCAAAAATAAGAGGTGGACTGTGAGAAAAATGAGGCAATGAGGGAATCTGGAATATGGCCAGAGGAGTCCAATACAGACCTAGTTTCAGAGAAAACTGTCAGAGTAATGTCCAGCTACTGGAGATCCCAAGCCAAGTCTCTTCAATCTTCAATTGCCAAGCTAAAGACGGGAGAGGGAGAGAAGAGATATATAGGCTGGGAAACCTATGCTTATCCACAGTTGTTGGGGCTGATTGTAATGTTATATTGCAGCTGATCATGTTAAATGGCTTAAATATAGGATATGAACTTCGCCCACTTATCTTAACTTGAAGTAGAACTGATTAGCGATGCAGAGAATGAGTCAGGTAAGCTGATGGTACTATAGTTATATTTCAGCAACAGAGAGTTAAACTGTTGTTATGAGATATACTGTATTTTCTGGCGTATATGTTGGAGCTCAGCCTGTGATTGTGTTCCAGGATCAGGGTGCTTTGGTTGTGGGGAGTGATGTCAATGAGTTTCAAGAGGAGTTTTAAAATGACAATGGTTGGTCAGTGATCTTGATGCAGAGAATGACCAGGAGATCCCCGTTCAAAGTGTAGTTTCCAATGAGAATGTCCCTGATGGGTGTGGGGATGATGGTGTGCTTTCTGAATTGTTACCAGAGAGTTCCCATGATAGGGAACATGAAAACAGCTCAGCATTTGGCCCAGCTGCAGAAATTAATGAGCAAATGGATACTGAGCAAATGAATAGACGCAAGGAGTTTAGTCAAAACAGAAAAGCTGAACAGTGGTTTCGGAGGTTTGCCAGGCTTTGAGAGAAAAAGATATGAAGTCCTCAGTTAAAACGAAACCAATTTCTGAATGCTAGAGACTTAGCTAATGAGGAGATAAAAGTCCCAAGTACAGATAAACCATCGTTTGGAATCAAGTCAAGATCTCATTCTTGTTCATGGAAGTTTTGCTTGGGAAATTCATGTTTTAAGTGCCCTTGTTTCATAGTTTCGATTCTTGGATTTTATGCTCTATATTCATGCCTTGGATTCATGCTTCCTGATTCTTTGCATTTTATTTGGAAAGTTTTGCCTTGGTTTTTATGAACTTTGCTGGATTATTACCCTGGACTACTTTGTTCTTGTTTATCTTCCTACCTATCATCTTATATGCCAGAAAATACAGTACTCTATTAGGTACAGCTCCTTTTAGGTCCGTATCATTAAAAAATGTAATGTTTGTTCAGCTATAGTTATTTGTGTAATGAAAATAAAACCCCTATACCTGGTGGGGTGGATATGTTCTGCACTGAAGCACAGTTGTCTGAAAAGGTAGGTGACTGAATGCCATTAGATCAGCTGACTTCCAGTTTCAGGATACCATGGAAGACCTAGAGATACCTAGAGGGGTGTCCTCTCTAAAAATGTGCTAGGTCCTTCAACATGATTCTGGTAACTTCCTGGGGAAGGATTTTTTTTCATGTCAGGAGTGACTTGAGAAACTGCAAGTTGCTTCTGGTGTGAGAGAATTGGCTGCCTACAAAGACATTGGCCAGGGGATGCCTGGATGTTTTACCATCCTGTGATAGACTTCTCTCCCCCGCATGAGAAGCTGGAGCTGACAGATGGAAGCTCACCCTGCTCCCCGGATTCGAGCCACAGACCTTTCGGTCAGCAGTCCTGCCAGCACAAGGGTTTAACCCATTGCGCCACCAGGGGCTCCTGGGGAAGCATATAATAAAACTATATCAAGGACATAGAAAATTCCCAGATAGTCCATTTCTATTATTTCCATTATTTTGCAATTATTGGGGTCTGATTATATAAGGGGAGTAAAATGTTATTATTTTCATGTTATTACAGACATTGCAATGAAATGGAAAGTGTTTGAATATAACCAAAAATACTAAATGAGATACAATTATTTCAGTCATTTATAGATTTCCTGGAAATTTTCCAGTTCTTGTTGGAAACCCTAACTCCCTGGCTATACCCAGACATTTTGGTAGATGTTAACTCATGCACTTCACAGCCTTCTCTACAAATTCCCCATCAAATTAGTACCTGACTAGAGAGTTTATTGTACCCTGTGGACTGATTTCCTCTCACCCAGAACATTCTGCTGAAAGAGGAAATAAGGAACGATGCAGTGTAATCAAGAGACACCAAGGTCACTGCCCGGTTTATTGTTCAACTTGGCACTTGTTTTATTGAAACGGAGTTGTAAGAGGATTAAGGATGCTAAGTGAAAGTCCAGGCAGAGAGATATGTAACAGAGCAGCAGGGAGCAGCTAGATTGGTGAGGGATTGCGCTAAGAAAGGTGATATAAAGGCCAGCGTATTCTTATCTCCTTGCAAATGATTAGCCCTTTCAGTAGTAATATTCACATATTTATCACATTTTACGCGGAATGTCATGGCAAACCCTAACCTCTCTTATCTAGGACAAAATACCTTCAAAGAAGAGGAAACATCTGAGTATCTTTGAATATGTAAAGAACACGTTGTAGATGAAATCCAAGATTAATACTCCAGATCCCTTTTCTTTTAGGAGCACAGCTTGTTTCACAAAGGCTAAAACCTTGTTCTGTATGATTACAGACATACAAACACACACACACCATGGCAGATACCAGCTCAGGAAATGAAAGGCATTAAAAAGATGTTTGGCTCACTGAAATCCAATCTTTAAAAAACAAAAGCAAGAGGGCAAAACCTTTTATGTGAAGCACTCGGCATGGTTGGCTGGGTTAGTTAGTTCACTATTATTGGTAAGTAAAACAGGGTCATGTTTTCGCATTCCTTCAGACATTTACATATAATAAGACTTACAGAGAGGCTAGGAAACATCAGTAGAAGGATGTTGTAGCTTCTGTATACTGCTTGTGAGATTTCCATATTCATCTGTTTGGTCACTGTAAATAAAAACAGAATGCTAGAGAAGCTAAGCCTTGGTCTGCTTCTGCATAATTGCTGTTGTGTTTTTCTTGGATTTCAACATTCAAGTGCTTTCTTAATAAGATTTAGTATTTATAATAAATTAATAAATGAAATTGGTCTTCCTTGTTCCAACTAATTTGATACTAGATTGACTATATATAGATTTTCAGATACTTAATAATAATAATAATAATAATCTATATAAATAAAAATGTAATGTTTGTTTGTGGGATTAACAGAACTCAAAAACCACTGGGGGAATTGACACCAGATTTGGACACAATACACCTAACCACCCAATGTATGTCCTTCACTCATAAAAACACTGAAAAACAGAGCAGAAGGGACTTAAAGAGCTCCCAAAAGCTAAAGGACAAAAAGGTAAATGACAATACAGAAAAAAGGGAAGAAAGAGGGGGGGAAGGGGAGAAAAAAAGAAAGAAAGAGGGAGGGAGGGAGGGAAAGAAAGAAGGAAAGGGAGAAGGAAGCATGGAAGCAAAGAGAGAAGGAAGGAAGGAAAGAGGTAGAGAAGGAGAGAAAGAAGGAGGGAAAGAAAAAGGGGGAAGGAAGGAAAGTTAGAGAAGGAAGGAAGGAGAGAAGGAAAGAAAAAAGGGAAAGAAGGAAGGAAAGAGAGAGCGAAGGAGCAGGGGAGCCTAGGGATGATTATTGTTGTTACCAATTTGAAAGGAACCAAATTTACCATCAAGTTAGAAGGGAGGCTGTTCAATCGCACCTCTTCTTTTATTAAGATAGTAATAACTTAGTAGTAATTAAACGGTATGTATTGTAGCGTGACTGGAGATAAGAATGTATATCTATTTGGTCACTTTCCCCTGCGTTTCTGCCACCACGTGAGGTAAGTTATAATATTGTGAGAAATGGCACACTGGATGCAGAATTGATGGAGGTGAGGCAGTCTTCAAACAAAAGTTAACAAGTTTATTGAGCACAAAGCGTGTGGTTGCAAGTTGTAACTTTTCTTATAGAACTTAGAACAATGCTTGTAAGTTTAACAGTTCATTCTTTAAAGTAACACAGTATCTTCCTGACGTAGAGCGCTTGCTTCAGACAAAGTATCAATACAGGGATATTTCCCTTATTTGATCCTTCCTAGATCAAATTCTAAATAAGCTATTCTTTAGCCTCTCCTTGGACTAAAGAATTCCGGCTATGTTTCCCCCTTTCGGCTACCCTAGCCAGAGAAACTTTCAATAGCCAGACCCGGCTTTCCAAAGCCTCGAAACTTTGCTTCACAAGTCACTCAGCCACCTTTTCCTCTCCTTCTCTCTCAACTCCTCACTCTAACTCCTCACTGCTAAACCCTAACTCCTCACTCCTCGGAACCTAAAACCTAACTGAACATTAACTGTCGTTTTTCAAACTCTCCCCTCTAAGCTCCTCCCACTTCTCTCTCTAGCCTACATCGTCTCCATGGCAACGCACTCCTCTCAGTTAGGCCGCTCCAGCATTAGTGCAGCCAATCTAAACACAAATACAGTTAAAATCATACAATTTATAATCAACTTCTGTACAGGAAAGGGGGAAGATGTAGAGAAAGAGGGAGGGAAGGAAAGAGAGAAGGAAGAAAAGAGAGACAGCAGAATAGAAAGAAAAAGGGGGAAGGAAGGAAAGAGATAGAGAAGGAAGGAAGAAGAGAAGGAAAGACGGGAAGGAAGGAAGGAAGGAAAGAAAGAAGGAAAGAGGGAGTGAAGGAAGGAGGGAAAGAAGGGGAGAAAGAGGGACGGTTGGCCACAGCAACGCGTGGTGGGTACAACTAGTATTATAATAAACTTTATTTATACCCTGCTCCATCTCCCCCAGGGGGACTCGGTGCGGCTTACAAGAGGCCACACCCATCAATACAATACACACAATATAACACAAAAGCATAACAAAACCAGAAAATAAAATACATAGAATGAAAAACCAATATAATAACGACACGACAATATAAAATCAACTATTAAAACATAAAAGATTTTCATTGGACAGGGCCAAATTAAAAGGTAAAATTTTAAAACACTGGGAGATGGAACAATGTAAATTGTTGGGGAGGAGGATCTGGGGATAAGGAAGGATTTAATTGCACAGACCATAAAATAAAGTGCTTCTGAGGTCAATTTTGTGCAAAGTTTGGTCAGGGATTATCTTACATTCATTGAAGGCACTTTGGAATAACCAGTAGATAACAAACTCTGTCTACATTAGGAATTAGTTACTTTTTAGAACTACAATTCCCAGAATCTCCCAGCCAGTATGGCCACTGGGAAGGATTTTTAGAGATTCAGTTCAAACAAATCACATTTTCAAACTTAGTATAGGCATTCTGTTTCACATACGAGGGTTATCTGGAAAGTAAGGTTACAAGGTACATCGCTCTCACAGGGAATTTTCTCAGGGAAGTTGGTATCACTGCCGTGTGGTGGGAAGCTAGCGGAAGCGAACGAGCAGTGCCAGTCGTCAGTAGCTCATCTTGGAACTTGGAATAATGGACGAGGAAATCGGATTATGACTTTACTGATGAGATGTGATGGATTAGTTATATGGATGTATTGATGTTATATTGATGTATTGATGTATTGTTATATTGATGTAGTTGCCTTAGTTACTGTTTTACATGCTAATGTTGTGCACTTTGTATATTGACCTGGCTGTAAACCGCACTGAGTTGCCTACGGGCTGAGAGAGTGCGGTATACAAATAAAATAAATAAATAAATAAATAAACTGGCATTGTGGTGAAGTTTAGAGAATAATGTCCTCATTCTGTTTCTCTCTCTGTAAGTTCAAAGTTCGTGCTGTAATGTGCTACCTAAATGCTAAGGGCATGAACGCAGCTGCGATTCATTGCAAAATCATTTCAGTTTATGGAGAGGACATAATGTCAAGACAGCATGTGACAAAATGGGTACGGAATATGTTGTGAGACCACGAAGAAACTTTGCAGAGCCATCCAAAAAAACATCGTGGGATGCTGACGGTGGGAGCCTATCTCCTTCATGACAATGCACGTCAGAACACCGCTCATGGAACACAAGAGTGGTTTACTTCATTAGGTTGGGATGTTTTAAGCCACACCCCTCACAGCCCCGATCTCGCACTCAGTGAGTATTATCTGTTCACTGAATTGAAAGAACACTTGGGTGGAAAACACTTTTCTGATGATGACAAGGTGAAAATTGAAGTGACAAACTGGCAGAAAAAGATGAAGGGAAATTTGTATGACACATGCGGCAAAAACTCATCCCATGGATGACAAAACGTACTGAACTGAATGGTGATTATGTGGAAAAATAAATGTAATACCTGTGCTATAATCCATGTAAGTTTTATTAAAATATATTCATTCTTTGTATATATTTTTTAAAAGTCCGTCCCATTCTGTGTCTGTAGCCACTTTAATTTTCCCCAAAGCCATTGCTGTTAAAATACTAAGAGAACATTGGTTATCTGCATTGCAGAAAATTCCCCCTTCTTTCTTCATGTAGGGCAGATGTTGGGGTATATATCATTGCTAATCCCTCCAGATTTCTGGCTCTGCTGTTCCTAATTCTTTGCCTGCCCTATCTGAGCAAATAAGCAGTGAAAGGACCAGCAGCCATGCCAACATGGTTGAAACTACGATTTCCAGAACACTTCTGGAAGTGGTACAATTTGGACTCTGGGGACCAAGGAAGTGCAAAAAACAGCATCAGATATGGAAGCACTTCTTTATCTTCCTGAAATCCATAATTAGCACTATTAGATCTAATATGTAGCCTTTGCTCTTCCTGTCTTTCTTCCAGGGCATGGCTTTTACGTTGAAAGAACGGCAAATGCTTGGGCTCCAAGGACTTCTACCTCCAAAGATAGAGACGCAAGACATCCAGGCCTTACGCTTCCATAAAAACGTGTCCAAAATGACGGATCCTTTGGAAAAGTAAGAATGCGTTGGCAGAAACACTCTTCATTTTATTTTCACAATGCATTATTGGGATTTGGATAAGATATTGTTCCAATTGTGATATGGAGAAGTGTTGCAGATTTCACAAGATGAATATAAGATGTCCTTAATCCCACAGGGGGGAAATAAGGCAATTTGCAGTTAATTTAATATGGGAACAGCCAGTTTGGGAAGCAATGGGAAGAAAAGGGAAAGTGCCTGCTAAATCTACCTACCTCTGGCTGTGTCTCTCCTTCTTGAAGCTTCCAAGGTTGCAAATTTCCCTCCACACTGTTTTATTTTCAGATACATCTATCTCATGGGAGTGCAGGAAAGAAATGAGAAGTTGTTCTACAGGATATTGCAAGATGATATCGAGCAGTTAATGCCAATTGTTTATACCCCAACGGTGGGCCTAGCATGTACCCAATATGGACATATCTTTAGGAGGCCAAAGTAAGAACAGTTTTATATTATCTTTTTTTGTATAAGTATCTATGGATGTTATTAGAATGACCATTAAAATTCAAAATCCATTGTCTTTCTTCTCACAACCTCTGAGGATGCTTGCCATAGATGCAGGTGAAACATCAGGAGAGAATGCTTCTGGAATATGGCCATACAGCCCAAAAAACTTACAGAAACCTGTTGTCTTTTTCTTTCTTCATGTTAACTTGGTAAACCATTGTGGAAGTTGTCGGCAGTATGTGTACAAACCCAATGTCTGCTGCCAAATAATTGTTTACTTTTGTCCAAATTCACATCTGAATTGTGGCTCACACGGCCCCTTTCTTGCCTCAGTTCCTCTCTCCTTTTCCCTTCTCTGTCAACTTCTTTTTCCAGCTATCTTTCCTTCAGGTTTTTGTTTTATGGTCCAATGTGAAGAAAAAAGTACACTAGGGCAGTCATTTTCACTCTCACTTTTGTCTTGTAGCTTTCTCTCATTTTATGTCAATTTTTCCATTTAAAAAGAAGTGTGTTTAACTTTCTAAAGATGGTTTATTGAAAGAGGAAATAAGTAATGGCTTAGTTGTATTGTTGGTGAGAGTTTTACCCTTCTGACTTTTCTTACAGAGGATTGTTCATTGCCATAACAGATAGAGGCCATATTAGATCTGTTGTGAACAACTGGCCGGAAAATGATGTGAAGGTACAGCTTTGATATTGCCTCTTATCTTCCTTGTATGTATGTGCGTTCTTTAAGGACAGCTTACTTTCTTCAAGAGGAGATAATGGTAGCCTTTCTGACTGAGATTGTGACTTCCAATTTGAGAACTCCAACTAAAACAGATGTGCTCTTCCTTAAAAGAGGCCAAAGGGTCCATCATACTGTTAGGATGCATTTGGAGGCACAGTTGGTAGTTTTTAGTGTGCCCTAATTTTAGGGATGGTAACGAAGAGAAGAAACATCCTTGGTGGCCTTATTTGGCCTGTGGTCCACTTATGGCTCACTTTGTCCCACCCCCCTACTGTGAAGTCTTTGCTCACCACAAATTCATTTACTAGAACATTGCCTGTATGTCACCTCAATAACATGAGGATCTGAATTTGCCCGCATTGCAAAGGAAGTTCACCATACTGGTATCTAGAAAACCACTGTCTGAATAGGACTACATGTTAATATACACACAAACATTGTTTAGTAGTGATACCACTACTAGAAAGGACAGGAACCCTAGCTAAGTTTAACAAGGGCAATAATTCTGTCTACTACAGATGCAATTGAACTCTAGTCCTTACTTAAAAAGTAATGACCATGTAAAATGTTTATCACAAGATCACTTTAACTCTGCATGTATACTGCTGATGACGGTACATTTGCACTTTTCCCTTCAAGGCTGTCGTCGTCACAGATGGAGAACGGATCTTGGGTCTTGGCGATCTGGGTGTGTATGGAATGGGAATTCCTGTCGGCAAACTCTGTTTATATACAGCGTGTGCAGGAATACATCCCGATAAGTGCCTGCCAGTGTGTATTGATGTCGGCACTGACAATCAGGTAAGTTACCATCTCCCCTTGTCCTTGCAAGGTACCATTTGGCACCTCTTGATCAATAGCATCCTAACTGTATTTACCTGTATCTGTTTTAGTTGTTGTAATCCACCTTGAGTTACAGGGCAGGAAAATAGTTGGGATACAAATAAACTTCATTATCCTCATCAAAATCTATTTGCTGTTGCTTAGCAGTGGCCCAGTCACAAAAATGGGCAATAAAAGCTACTGTTATGCTCTGCTTGGCTGTAGTATGTATTGTGCCCCAACCAAGCAAATCTGCAAAGATAAGCAGCCACTAACACTGGTTAGTTGACCAGGTCAGCCTAAAAATTGAAAGTTTGGAGATTTATACAAACACAAAATAAACCTGTCTTTAATATTTTCCCTGACTAACTAATTGAGTATAACTTTGGTATAGCTGGTTAATCGGCAGCAGCAATGCATCTTACTAATTGAAAGGTTGGCAGTTCGAAGTCTGTGTCGGGGTGAGCACCATGTATGTGTTCTGTGATCTGCCCTGCGTCCTCTTCGGCATGAGAAGGGCAGAATATAAATACTCTAAATAAATAAATAAAGCCACCGATTGTCAGTTAAATAATTATGAAGTGCAAGAATAGTGTAGTACTGTACAAAAGTGATTGAAGAATCAGAATGTGAATCCAAAATAAACGTGGTAGCAGGGTGTAACATGTTTGAGGATATAAAACTAAATTAAAATGTATAGGATAATGTTGCACAAAAATTATTTAGATGTCTCTCACTCTAACGAACTCCCAGGAAGGGGCATAACATATTTTTTTCTCTTTTAAATGCTATTTCTTTCCAACATTCCCCAGAAGTATTCTTAGGTTATTTTCATACAAATTAATGAATGTTTTAAATCCAAGTAACCTGATTCATTATTTTCTGCAGCTGCCCACATTTCCAGGGAATGGCATTGACTGAATTGGCCATTTATGGCTTGATTTAGCAACTTTTTTTGTTCTTTTACTTCTCTTAGATGCTTCTACAAGACCCGTTTTACATGGGACTCTATCAGAAACGAGACCGCTCACATCTCTACGATGACCTCATTGATGAGTTCATGGAAGCCATCGTAGGCAGGTATTAACCCTCAATCATTCAGTTGTACCCTTCCTATGTAGTTGTTTGAGTCAGAAATGTGTGACAAGAAAGTACTGGAGGATTAGCTACTTGGACTAATATAATATTTAAGGAAAAGAGTCACATAAATTACTTGCCACTGGAAAGAAGGCAAGTGACTGTTTCCAAAGCTGTATTATGTAATTTATGAGCAATAGTGTTGGTGACACTTACCATTATATTGGGGAACTACTGCTCCAAGATCTTCTGTGATGCTGCAGGGACTCAAGTACTCAAGTACCGCATATACTTGAGTATAAGCCAATCTGAATATAAGCTGAGGCACCTAAAAATGGAAAAATATATTGACTCAAGTATAAGCCAAGGGTGAAAAATCCAGCATCTTCTGGTAAATTTTGAAATAAAAACACATAGCAATAAAATTACATTAATTGAGGCATCAATAGGTTAAATGTTTTTGAATCTATATAAAAATGTAATGTTTGTTTGTGGTATTGACATAACTCAAAACCACTGGACGAATTGACATGAAATTTGGACACAATACACCTATCAGGCCAACGAGTGACTCATAAAAACACTGAAAAACACAGCGGAAGGGACTTAAAAAGCCAAAAAAAAAAAACCCCTCAAAAAGATGCTACAGCGCATGTGCAGAGTGACTCCCCCCGGCAAACAAAACACACAGTAGCATATCCCCACACTCTTCTGGACTACAGCTCCCAGCATCCCCTAGACCAGCATCCCCTAGACCAAGCATCCTCAGAGGTAGTGCATCTATGGCAAGCATCCTCTGAGGATGCTTCCCATAGATGCAGGCGAAACGTCAGGAGAAATGCCTCTAGAACATGGCCATATAGCCTGAAAAACTCCACAAGAACCTAATATATGTAATAATAAAAATAGAGTAAAATAATAATAATAATAATAGTAATAGTAATAATAATAATAAATAAAATAATAAATGTAATAATAATTGTTATTACAAATCGTTATTAATGTTGCCTACTTGCAGGTAATTGGTAGGGAAGGCAGATAAAAGCATCAGATCAAGTCTGATCTTGGAAGCTAAACAGGGTCAGTCCTGGTCAGTACTTGGATGGGAAACAGCCAATGATCACCACATGCTCTAGGCTGTCTTTCAGAGGAGGAATTGGCAAACTGCTTCTGAGTATTCCTTGCCTAAGAAAGCTCTATGTAATCCATAGAGTCACCATACGTTGACCAGCAAATTGGAGGCACATACATATATCATGTAAACATCCTTAAATAGAAAGACTTTTACAAGCACCATGTGTTATTTGGAGTTATTCCCATGTTTTCAGTGTATCTCACACTAGAGTAGGCATGCATGGGCTAGATTACAGGCAAGCTTTGTCATTCCAGCGAGGGCTCAACAATTACTATGTTGATATTTTTTAAGTCCATATCAATTAATAACTTCTGATGGATAATTCCTGAGGAGGCTCAGCTGCACAGGAGCCTTAGGGGTCTAATTTTGCCAGATCAGATCATTCCTGGAGACTTAACAAGAGCGCAGTACCCCTGTGCCCTCATTCTGGGATCCATGTTATACATGCAAAATCCTAGTCTATTTTGAAAATAGGTGGTCCTTTGTTGTAGCACAACAGTACCGACAGTTCACTTTTCAAATTTTGTTGCATTTCTAGGTATGGGCAAAACACCCTCATTCAGTTTGAAGATTTTGGCAACCATAACGCTTTCCGCTTCCTAAGGAAATACAGAGAAAAATATTGTACTTTCAATGATGATATCCAAGGTAAATGGCTCCCTTCGGGCTTCTCATACATACCGGTAAACCCTTTGTGATTCTGTTCGGCAGGTTGACTGCCTTATCTTTCTGGCCATTCTCAAAGAGGCTTTTTTCTCCTCACAGGGACAGCTGCTGTGGCCTTAGCTGGATTGTTGGCAGCACAAAAAGTCACAGGGAAACCCATCTCAGAGCACCAGATCTTGTTCCTTGGTGCAGGAGAGGTGAGTTGTTCATTAAAAAAAAATCACTCAAAAAACAAAGCAATAACATTAACAACACACAATGATGATAAGATAAGACTGAAGATGAAGATAAGACTGTCCAACTCTGATTAAACAATTATTCTAAACTTCTTCAAATAAATATGCTTACTTACCTTCCAATAATAATAGAGTAAAATAATGAATGTAATAAGTAACAATAAAGTAAAATAATACATGTAATAATAAAAATAGAGTATAATAATCATGTTAAAAGAGGGACATCATCAAAATCATCAAAATCACTTCGTTTCCCTATCCCTCTTTTAACATTCAATTTACATGTTAGCTTGTCTTTTATTGCAATTTTCCATATTTCCTTATACCACTCTTCTATTGGTATATTTATTTCCCTTTTCCAATTCCTTGCTATAAGCAATCTTGCTATTGTTTTTAAAAATATTTTTATTTATTTTATTATAATTTAATACATTTGTTATATGCCGTTTGTTTTATGGCAGACACATAATATTGTTAGTAAGTTTATTGTCACATCTTTTCCCTCTTTTTTCAGCTGTTTATTATTATATAATGAGAATAAAGCTATTCTAGTTCTTTCTATTTTAATGTTCATTATTTTCTCTATCTCTCTAAATACTTTCCCCCCAAAATTACTTACATATTTACACTATCACCACATATGTATATATGTTCCCAATTCTTGGCATCTTATCCATCAATTTTTTGAATAGGGGGCAATTTTTTTATTAATAATTTTGTTTCCATGTTCTTACCTTCATAAATTATTCAAAACCCATGTATGTTGCAGGGGATTGTAAGAAGTATGATATCATGCATGTGATTGAACCGTATAGATCCCAGCTCATTTGCTAGGCTGTCTCACCCACAGCTTGAGAGTAGCCATTTTCCTGTTAGCTGTATGAGAGTAGAGCTTAAGAAAACCCTTCGTGGTTTGAATCTTGGAAGCTAGACATGTCTATAGTTGGTCTCATCGAGATCCAAGCATGGACAGGGCATTTCAAACCAATATCTACTACTATTCTGGGAACTCCTTTGACCACTGGTCAACTGCAGAATGTGAAGTTTCCAGTGCCTTCAGCAAGGTGCCAGGCCTCAATAGGAGAGGTCTGCTCTTTCAGCCTCTGGCTCAATCACCTTGGGCTTTGGTCGCCCCAGAGGCCCCTTTACCAGAGAAAGTGAGCAAGGGAAACTTTCAGCTGTCCTTCATCTCCAGAATCATCCACTAGCAGTGACTTCAAGAACAACCAGCTACCTTCAAACTTTTAAGTATGGACTTTGTTGTGAGGAAATCAAGATAATGCCTGGATGGAGATAGACCCAAAACCAGTTAATAAATCATTACCATTTTGTGAAAACAATAATGTGGACATTGATTCTGTGGGGTTCCTTGCTCAAACAGGAAGGCAATCCAGCATCCCCCAAGCTGACAGAAAGTTAGGACATGTTAATGCTAAAGAGACATTTAAAGGAGCTTCGGTGCAACAGCACAATGCATGTTGGATACTTCAGGAACACTGACCATTCCTCTCTGAGTGCACAGATAGTTACTGAGTGTAACCCAGACTCCTCTGTAGTGTACTTTTGCAGACAGTGCTAGCATCTTTTAGAGAAACTGATCCATCTTTACTTCCATGTTTGTAAAAGCAAAGAAGTTATTGGGTTGTTGTAGGTTTTTTCGGGCTGTATGGCCATGTTCTAGAGGCATTCCATCCTGACATTTCACCTGCATCTATGGCAAACATCCTCAGAGGTTGTGAGGTCCTCTGAGGATGCTTGCCATAGATGCAGGCAAAACGTCAGGAGAGAATGCCTCTAGAACATGGCCGTATAGCCCGAAAAAACCTACAACAACCCAGTGATTCCAGCCATGAAAGCCTTTGACAATACAAATAAGTTATTCCTTATGAGTTCAGTTTTGAAAGCCATTTGATGCCATTGCTTGACATCTCTGCAGAATGATATGTTTCCCCATGTGTTCTTGGTCTGCCAGGCTGCCCTTGGAATTGCCAATCTAATAGTCATGGCTATGATGGAAAGTGGCCTTTCAGCAGAAGAAGCTTACAAGAAAATATGGATGTTTGACAAATTCGGCTTATTGGTTCAGGTAAGGTTCAGCAGCAGTTTGGAAGGTCTCAACCCAGTCCTCTTCCCACCACTTGTTTGTTTCTACTCATTGGGTTTTTATTTTATTATTTCTAGGGACGAGAACAAACTGTGGATGTCAACCAAGAGCTCTTTACTCACCCAGCTCCGGTCGAGCTGCCAACGAGCTTCTTAGAAGCAGTGAATGTACTTCAACCTTCTGCCATCATTGGTGAGTCTTTGGGCCTCTTCACTTATGAGGTTGTTAATCTACTACAAATGCTGCAGAATCAGATGATGCTATTAATTTCAAGTGCATGTGATAGATTCTTGTAGCCAGCCATATAGTGACTGAGCATTAGCTCTTTGGAAGTAGAAACTTGGTTATGTTGATTTGCACTGTCAATGGGACTAGAATTATAAAGTTGGAAGAGACCACAAGATCCATCCAATCTGATCCCATGGCATGCAGAGATACACAGTCAAAGCATTCCTGACAAATAGCCATCTAGCCTCTGTTTAAAAATCTCCTCCACTACATTTGAGACAACATTTTCCACTGCTGAAAGCTCTAACCATCAGGAAATTTTTCGTAATATTTATATAGACTCTCTTTTCCTGCTATTTGAATCTATTGCTCCCTGTCCTAGTCTCTAGAGAAGCAGAAATGATGTTGGCGTTAAGCGCGGAAGTTTTGCACAGGCTTGGTAGAAATCATGGACTCTGGAGACTTCTGATTACAAAGCAGGTTCAATTTACTTAGAGCAGTTCAAAATACATCCATTTCAGTAAGCGACAAGACATGAAGTACACAGTAGGCAGAACAAAGGAAGTGGAGGTGTAAAGAATCCTGCAGCTGCTTGGCTGCCTGGCAGATATCCTATACTCCCTAATTTCTCTCACAACTCAGCTCAGAGAGCATCTCAGGGCTACTATCTCACAGCCTCAAACATAAACATACATCACAGCAATACAACCTTGTGGCATCCATATTACTTCTACATGAAATTACATTTAAACACATTACATACTTCAACATATTCTGACAAATGAAGCATGCTCCCACCTCAGTATGATATTTCTCCAGATATTTAAATCAACCTTCTCTTCTACAAAACTTGGGTGCCATGAATACTGTGGGAATCTCTCAGAAGTGAATGTATTCCCATATTGGTCATCCAACACAACATCAGTCCCATTAAAGCAAGACTAATATTCACACTCTTCCCACAGAAGGTAGCTCTACCTAGAGATGTTTAATACTCAGTGTGTTTACATCCCTCAGAACTATTTACATATGCATGAATTAGGTATGTACTTGCATGTGTGAGTGGACCATTGCACATATGTAAAACTGCAAGTCGACTTTTTTATATTTCCTGAATATGGATTGATACTTTCTAATAAAGATATGGAGCGGTTAGATTCAGAGAGAGGAGGATATGAATGTGTGAACAAGTCTTTGATGCCCAATACCCACTGCCTTCATCATGTTTGACTTCGTATGAAAGGTTCTCAGAGTTAAAACCCTTAACAGCGGGAGCTCATCTCACTCCCCAAATTTGAACCGCCAACCTTTCAGTCACTAAGTTCAGCAGCTCAGCGGTTTAACCTGCTGCACCACCAGGAGGTCCAGATATAGAAATGGCATAGAAATGCTTTAGACATTATTTAAATATCTCTCATTCTAATGAATTCCCAGGAAGGGGGCATAACACAAAAATGTGCTCTTTTAAATGCTCAGAAACTATCTGTGCATTTAAAGACAGATATTTGCTAACCTTTCGGTCAGCAAGTTCAGCTCAGCGGTTTAACCCGCTGCGCCATTGCTTTTTGCAAAATAAATGGAACATCTGGCTGTATCAGTCATAAGAAATACTATTCTATGTTGGTTCAAAGGCTCATCTGCTCGAGCATCATGTTTTTGACAGCTGACTATGCATACTTTGGGAAAAGGCCTCTTGCACAATCTGAATGCAGCTGTTTTTGCAGGTGCATCTGTGGATATACTCTGAGATAAGAGCTTGTTGCATACAGATTTGCATTCTCTCTGATGCAATGTGTTTGGTACTTCCTGTTTGGTGCATTCTGTTATCAGCAAAACAAGTAGGAAGTTGACAAATAATGATGTTTGGTGAGGAGAAGACCAAGAAATCCCTACATGTTTCCACAGGGGCCGCACTGTGTCCAGACTGGATGCCATTGGAAGCGCAAAGATATCTATTCTATGCTGAATTACTACTCCTATTAAGTGTGTATGTCTCCTTTTATTTTATTTTTTTACACATGGTATTTCTCTTTATATCATCAAATTCCAGGGGTTGCAGGTGCTGGGCGCCTCTTTTCTCCCGATGTGATCAAAGCGATGGGCTCAATCAATCAGAAACCAATCATATTTGCACTGAGCAATCCTACTGTAAAAGCAGAATGCACTGCAGAGGAGGCATACACATTAACGGAGGTAAGTATAGATGTTTAAATGTCATAGGAGTCTCCCCTTTGCTCTGTGCAGCTTGGCTTCCTGACTTGGGCCACCAGAATATTGATTTCTACAAAACACATGGTGCATTTTTATTTTTAAGATGACTTTGTAAGATTATCTTAATAATGGAACACTTTCACTAGATCTCAGTTAATAATGCGGGGTCATATGTTAGGGTAGGAGCAGTATGGAAAAATACATTATTCTAAATGAATGTTCTAAATCAGTGGTTCCCAACCTTATTTTGACCAGAGACCACTTTGACCAACATTAGTACCAAAAGGGTTACAAATCAGTTTTTGGTCAACTTTAGATTTGGTTTGGTTATTTGTGTGCTGATTCATAAAACTGCATTGGATAGACCACATCAGCTCCAGTTTCTGATACTGAACACATGTCATCCAGTAGTTGCCTCTACTTGCCCACAGAAAACCATATTTAATCATCTAGAGCCGCTGACCTTATTTTAGGTCTTTCCGCCCAGAGGTTGGGAACCACTGTTCTAAATAAACAAAATAGCCTTCCATTCTTTTACCCTCTTGAAAATATCTTTCTTATGTTTGAGTGCCCTCTACTGATTCTTTTAGCTTTCTTTAGGTTACAGAACTGTATGGTTCTTTTTCTTTTGGCATATTTAGATCTGAACTCCATGATTAGCTAAATAGCATGGACAAATCCTCAGATGGTGTCGCCTCATGCTGTAAATCAGAGGATTGATTTTTGTTTTTGAGAATTCCCCCCCCCCCCCCAATATTCAAATTCCTTTATTGTACATTTTAAATATGCTAACTAATATATCTGTGCCTTCAGGTTGCCAGTCAACCTATTTATTTATTTATTTATTTACGGCATTTATATGCCACCCTTCTCACCCTGAAGGGGACTCAGAGTGGCTTACAAGGTGTGTGTGTGTGTGTGTGTGTGTGTGTGTGTGTGTGTATGTATATATACACACACAAACATACAACATATTATATTATTAGCATAGTACAATATCAGTATATTACTATATTGTACTATACCATTATATTGTAATATTATTAGTAATCTTACATGAAATATAAAATATATAATTATAATATATTATTATTATTAGTAGTAGTAGTAGTAGTAGTAGTAATAGTAGTATATTGTATTACATTTTAATATTATAAATATTATATGTATATACAATATATTACATTACATTACATTACATTACATTACATTACATTACATTACATTACATTATTAGCATAGCACAGGAGACAAGATGGAACTGTCCCCTGGCCCCCTCTCTCTTCTGGGGGGAGGGGTCCCCAAGCTATATGGTGACCTCATGGATTTCATAAGGTTGTCTGGGACAAGGAATATTTTAAGGTAGTTTGCCATTGCCTTTCATCCTCTTAGCCCCCTCCCACCCAGCCCCCACCCAGTTACTGATCAGGCCTAATATAAAATATGTTTAGTTCTTGTATGCCTGAAACAAAGCTTGTTTTCATCAGAAAGCAAATGTGTACCTATCTCAGCCACCTATGTGAACGATTTGGACCCTCCCTTGTCCAGAATGCTTGAAACCAGAAGTATTTCAGGTTTCAGACTTTTTTTTTTTTGAATTTTGGTATGCTTGCATATAGAATCATAGAATCAAAGAGTTGGAAGAGACCTCATGGGCCATCCAGTCCAACCCCCTGCCAAGAAGCAGGAATATTGCATTCAAATCACCCCTGACAAATGGCCATCCAGCCTCTGCTTAAAAGCTTCCAAAGAAGGAGCCTCCACCACACTCCGGGGCAGAGAGTTCCACTGCTGAACGGCTCTCACAGTCAGGAAGTTCTTCCTAATGTTCAGATGGAATCTCCTCTCTTGTAGTTTGAAGCCATTGTTCCGCGTCCTAGTCTCCAAGGAAGCAGAAAACAAGCTTGCTCCCTCCTCCCTGTGGCTTCCTCACACATATTTATACATGGCTATCATATCTCCTCTCAGCCTTCTCTTCTTCAGGCTAAACATGCCCAGCTCCTTAAGCCGCTCCTCATAGGGCTTGTTCTCCAGACCCTTGATCATTTTAGTTGCCCTCCTCTGGACACATTCCAGCTTGTCAATATCTCTCTTGAATTGTGGTGCCCAGAATTGGACACAATATTCCAGATGTGGTCTAACATTACGATACAACATGGAGATGGGACACAAGTTTAAGCACAAAATTAATAGATGTTTTACATATGCATATCTTGACAGTAAATGAATATAGAATGTTTCAAAATAATTTTATGCCCAAGACAAAGTTTGTGGACATTTTACCACCAGAAAGCAAAAATATCCCTATCTCAGACAGTGGACAATTTTGGATTTAGGAATATTTCTGATTTTGGATTTCCTGATAAGGGATACTCAATATGAACCATAAACTATGTGTACATTTGCAATATCGTTCCTTATTTTTCTGTACCACAGGGGCGCTGTCTGTTTGCGAGCGGCAGTCCATTTGACCAAGTGAAGCTGTGTGATGGACGGTCCTTCAAACCAGGCCAGGGAAACAATGCCTACATCTTTCCAGGTGAAGCCCAGGAGTCTGTTTTCCTGCCCAGCTAGCTTTCAGATGAAGAGGTTGCAAACAATTTAAGCTGAAAGACTTGCTAAACATAGATATAAACAAATATCTAGCAGCTTGGATTTAGAGTTGTACTGAGACTGGAGGTCTTGTACAGACATCATGGCTTGTATTTATCAATAGCCTTAGCTGTCACAGATAGAAGCCCCCAGTAGCACAATGGCTTAAACCCTTGTGCTGGCAGGACCACTGACCAAAAGGTCAGTGGTTCAAATCCAGGGAGTGGTGTGAGCTCCCGTCTGTCAGCTCCAGCTCCCCATGCTTAAACATGAGAGATGCCTCCCACAGGATGGTAAAACATCAAAACATCCAGGCATCCCCTGGGCAACATCTTTCAGACAGCCAATTCTCTCACACCAGAAGCAACTTGCAGGTTCTCAAGTCGCTCCTGACACAAAAAAAAAATGTCACAGATGTTTCCTATCCTTTTAGAGCTGCCTGTGTTACTGGCTGTGGCTACTTCACATAAATTCCACAGTTTAACTGGACACTGGGTGAAGAAATAATTCCTTGTATTTTGCTTTCCAAGTCTCCCACCATACATAAATAAAACCTGTACCTTTATACTATTTCCCTCCTTATATCTGCCCATTCATTTGCCCATTCTGAGATTAGTTAAGGTATAGATTAGGATATAAGTATTTTAAAATAGATAGATATTTGCTGAGGCACCAGTATCCTTTGGCAATGAATGCTAAAGACCTTGATAAACTACAATTTCTGCGATTCCATAGCATTGAGCTGTGGCAGTTGAAGTTGTGTCAAACTGCATTCATTCTGCAGTGAGATGCTCTATGAGTCAATTTCTAAATTGTTATTTTCAGACCTTTGGCTTGGTGGGGGGATACTTTGACCTAAAATCCCCATGCTCTGTGGTAGTGGACTATGGGAGTTATAATCCAAAACATCCAGAGGGGAAGAGGTTCCTCAACCCATGGCTTTTATAACGCTAAAGCAGGCATGGGCAAACTTCGGCCCTCCAGGTGTTTTGGACTCCAACTCTCACAATTTCTAACAGTCTCGGGCCCTTTCCTTTTCCTCCTCAGCCACTTAAGGGCCTGAGACTGTTAAGAATTGTGGGAGTTGGAGTCCAAAACACCTGGAGGACCGAAGTTTGCCCGTGCCTGCTCTAAAGGGACCACATGGACGTATTAATGGAGGAAAAGCTCACAAACTCCTACTATCCACTGTGAATTAATCCCCTGGTTTCAGAGGCAATAGGCCTTTTGAATAAGATTGGGAGAGAGCTATTTATTGCCTTGTGTTCTTCCCAGAGGAGGATGCTGGATTAGTTCCTTCTTCTGCCTGACAGCTGCCACTTTCGCTGTGTTCTGCCTGGCAGTGATATTCTGCTTGTTTAATTTCCCGTATCTTTTCGTGCTGCTGTTGTTTGTATCATGCATAGCAATAGCTCAAAATGGTTCTGCCAAATAATGGGCAAATTGTGTTTTAGGTGTTGCCCTTGCCGTTATTCTCAGCGGAGTTCGACACATTAGCGACAAAGTCTTCTTGGAGGCTGCAAAGGTGAATGATGTTAAGTGAATCGGATGTCTAGCAGATGAAATATAACTTGTGTTGCCATTTCTGAAAACACAAAGGCGTTTCAGATTGGGGCAGTCAAGCATAGGTTCCCAAATGGGTTTGCATTTTCATTGTGCCTTAGAGCCTGGGTGGTTTTTAATTATTGCTATGTTCCTTTATAATAAACAATTAGAGTTGGGTGATCCAGGAATTGTTGAGTAATACAACTTCATAGTATGGTGAATCCTAGAATCATAGAGTTGGAAGAGACTTGGTGGGCCATCCAGTCCAACCCCCTGCCAAGAAGCAGGAATATTGCATTCAAAGCACCCCTGACAGATGGCCATCTAGCCTCTGTTTAAAAACCTCCAAAGAAGGAGCCTCCACCACACTCCGGGGCAGAGAGTTCCACTGCTGAACGGCTCTCACAGTCAGTTTTCCCTCATGTTCAGATGGAATCTCCTCTCTTGTAGTTTGAAGCCATTGTTCTGCATCCTAGTCTCCAAGGAAGCAGGAAACAAGCTTGTTCCCTCCTCCCTATGACTTCCTCTCACTTATTTATACATGGCCATCCTGACTCCTCTCAGCCTTCTCTTCTTCAGGCAAAACATGCCCAGCTCCTTAAGCCGCTCCTCATAGGGCTTGTTCTCCAGACCCTTGATCATTTTAGTTGCCCTCCTCTGGACACATTCCAGCTTGTCAACATCTCTCTTGAATTGTGGTGCCCAGAATTGGACACAATATTCCAGGTGTGGTCTAACCAAAGCGGAATAGAGGGGCAGCATTACTTCCCTAGATCTAGATCTGGAAAAAGCTCCTATTGATGAAGGCCAAAATCCCATTGGCTTTTTTTGCCGCCACATCACATTGTTGGCTCATTTTTAACTTGTTGTCCACAAGGACTTCAAGATTTTTTCACACCTACTGCTCTCGAGCCAGGCTTCGCCCATTCTGTATCTCTGCATTTTGAGTATGGGAAGATTTTAATGAATTTAATAGTATTTAGTGAAGAATTAATTTGGATCCCCCATAGCTGGTTTTTAATCTGTAGATGCAGCTATTTTTGTGTGTGTGTTTTTAAGTGCAGTCCTGAATTATATGAAAAGTGGTCCCTAATCCCGCAAGAATTGATCACTTTATGGTTTATTGTTGGCTAACTTTGCCGTCCCCTCCTTGTAATAATAATAATAATAATAATAATAATAATACAGCCAGCAGAGTGATCTTGTCAGCTGTGGACTCATCTTGTTGTGTTTCAAATAATAATAATAATAATCTTGTATTAAAAGGCTTTGACAGAACAGGTGGGTGAGGAAGAGCTAGCTGAAGGACGGCTTTATCCCGCACTATCCAACATCAAAGAAGTTTCCATTAACATCGCTGTTAAAGTAAGTCTGTATTTCAGTAGGTAGCAGAAGCATCGGAAATAATATGGTCCAAAAGATTGCTGAGCTTATCCTAATGCTTTCAAGGAGCATAGGGCAGAGCAGGGCAGGACATCCTGATACTTCATTCGATGGAAATACTTCCATTCAATAACCACAGTCCTTTTGGGTTCTTTGAGTAAGAATGTTAAGGTAGTAATGATCATTGTATAGAAACCTCCATGTGCAATGTACCTCTGGGTACTGGATATTAGGAAGAAAATCTTCTTGTTTATTTTCGGTGCCATCTGATTGGCCACTCCAGGAAACCCACTGTTGGAGTAGAAAAACCCTGGAATGTGGGGACAATGAGCATGCTGGGTGGGAGTGATGGGGGCTGTCTTCCAACACATCTGGAGAAGGCTGGTGTAGAGGCAATAGTTAATTTTTTCTCTTCAGGTTGTGGATTTTTAAAACTAGTATATTTATTGAATTATGAATAATACAGACAACCCAAACAGCAAACTGGTAGGTTGTTAGGAATTGTGGGAGTTGAAGTCCAAAACACCTGGAGGACTGAAGGTTGCTCATGCCTGATTTAACCTAAACTTAACAAATCATGCTTCAGCAACTATTGAACACATACTACTCTACCTTAAAAGGTAAAGGTTTCCCCTTGACATTAAGTCTAGTTGTGTCCACCTCTGGGTGGTGGTGCTCATCTCCATTTCTAAGCCAAAGAGCTGGTGTTATCCGTAGACGCCTCCAAGGTCATGTGGCCAGCATGACTGCATGGAGCGCCGTTAGCTTCCCGCCAGAGCGGTATTTCTCACCCCAAAGGGGACTCAAAGCTGTTTCCACATAGGTAATGGCAAAATTCAATGCCAGCACAAACAATTACAATTATACAATTACAGTTAGACATAAATCAAATTAAAATACATCCATAAACAGTAGAACAATCATTAAAACAGTAAAAACAGTCTCATCCGTTGAATCGCCGTTCCAGTCATTATCTTTCCAAAATGCTGCATAGATTTGTTTCTACTGCCTGAAGGCCTGGTCCCAAAACCATGTTTTTAATTTTTTTCCTAAATTAAAATTAAAAATTAAATTAAATTAAAATTTTGATCTACTCAAATTTGCATGTTTTTGGACTGCTAGGCTGGCAGAAGCTGGGGCTAACAGCGGGAGCTCACCCCGCTCCCTGGATTCAAACTGCAGATTCAAACTGCCGACTGTTTATTATGCTATTGTTTTTAATTGTTTTTAACTGTTTTATGATGTTTTTGAGCATTGAATTTTGCTATTGTTAATCGCTCTGAGTCGCCCCAGGGCTGGGAAGAATGGTAAACAAATATAGTAAATAAATAATAAATAAGTTCAGCAACTCAGCAGTTTAACCCGCTGCACCATCTTTACTACACACATAAAAGAAAATTAAAATTGTTTTTCTGCTCTCTAGCGCAGTGGTTCCCAACCTGTGGGTCCCCAGGTGTTTTAGACTACAGCTCCCAGAAATCCCAGCCAGTTTACCAGTTGTTAGGATTTTTGGGAGTTGAAGGCCAAAATATCTGGGGACCAACAGGTTGAGAAACCACTCCTCTAGATCAAAGATATCTGCATGGAAAAGCCATCTTCTCATTACTGCTTAATATAATAACTTATCTTCTGTCTAATAGATAAGAAAATAAAACTTAATCTCCAGACTCCCCCAAGAATATTTGGATTTTCCTTCTTGATGTAAATTAAGAATGTTTCCCAATCTTTAAAACAAATCTATAAAGAGGCCTGTTTAATTCTGCTATCTCAAACGTTTTCAAAATCCATTCTTTCTTTGTTAGCAAATCCTTATATCTGCCTGGACCATATAATGCACCGATTTAAAGTCTTTGGCAGTGGCAATACAAACAGCCTTGGTTCCCTATTACCGTATATTCCGGCATATAAGACGACTGGGCGTATAAGACGACCCCCAACTTTTCCAGTTAAAATATAGAGTTAAGACAACTCCCATGCATAAGACTACACCTGCGTATAAGACGACCCCTGACTTTTGAGAAGATTTTCTTGGGTTAAAAAGTAGTCTTATACGCCAGAATATACTGTAACTTGAATCTTAATAATATTTCTTTTCTCCTCTCCAGGTTATGGAGTTTTTATATGCCAACCACATGGCGTTCCATTACCCTGAGCCTGCAGACAAGAACAAATATGTCAGATCAAGGGTTTGGAGTTATGAATATGACTCCTTTCTACCAGACTTGTACGACTGGCCTGCGTCTGCTTCCTATTCGCCGAAAACAAGCTGACTTGCCCAAAGGGCACACTGCTCAGGTGTCATCTGAAATTCTGCAGGGAACCCTCTTCCAGAACCATTGTGGAAAACATCCAAATCACGATGAGTTCAGACTTGGGGCATCTTTTCCTTTTGCTCTATTCCTTCTTCCCCAAAATGTTTTTAACCTGGCCACGTAACCATTGCTACAAGTTGTGGATTTGTTGCCCCGACGATTGTCCAGAAGTGATAGAAAAAAAATGTCCTTGATGAATTAAATTTATTTTTGCAGCTTGCACAACAGAGCTGCATACAGGAAAATAATGTTCTCTTGACATCTTGTTACTACAGACCGGGGTGAGCATTGCTCCAGATCTGAGGGCTGCACATGAGCCCTTCCACAGGATCTGGAAGGGACACACCCACTTCCACATATCAACATTTAAAAAATTCCAAGAACCACCTTCTCAATATGCATAAGAGGTCTATAGATTGCAGTGTTTTCAGATTTGTGATCCTTGTGGCTCATTTTATATCCAGTGCAGACCTTTGGCCCTATTATAAGCTCATGTTTCACTTCCAGAAACAGGAGGTGCTAAAGTTGTTCTGGGTATCTTATTCCAGACCTGCAGATGAAGGGTTTACCCATACTTTTATGTGTCACTGTAGATAAATAAATTCGTTTCGTCCAGAAACTTTGCAAGCCAGGCAAGTTTGGGTGGCTGTTTTTTTCTATTTTGAGATATTTACTTTTCACAGGGAAGCACTTAAAACAACCTGAAGTTGGACAATCCTGAAAAAATGTATTGTCGAAGGCTATAATGGCAGGAATCATTGGGTTGCTGTGAGTTTTTCGGGTTGTATGGCCATGTTTCAGAAGCATTCTCTCCTGATGTTTCACCCACATCTATGGCAAGCGTCTTCAGAGGTTGTGAGGCCTGTTGGAAACAAACCTCACAATCTCCTAGGCTTTTTTTTGTCATGTCAGGAGCAACTTGAGAAACTGCAAGTTGCTTCTGGTGTGAGAGAATTGGCCGTCTGCAAGGACGTTGCCCAGGGGAGGCCTGGATGATTTGATGTTTTTATCATCCTTGTGGGAGGCTTCTCTCATGTCCCCGCATGAGGAGCTGGAGCTGATAGAGGGAGCTCATCCGCCTCTCCCCGGATTCGAACCTGCAACCTGTCGGTCTTCAGTCCTGCCAGGCACAGGGGTTTAACCCACTGCGCCACCGGGGGCTCCCTGACATTAGAACCCTCAAGTTTCCCAGTCGCTCTACAGCAGTGGTTCTCAACCTGTGGGTCCCCAGGTGTCTTGGCCTACAACTCCCAGAAATCCCAGCCAGTTTACCAGCTGTTAGGATTTCTGGAAGTTGAAGGCCAAAACACCTGGCGACCCGCAGGTTGAGAACCACTGATACAGCCTGAAAAACTCACAGCAACCTGATCCTGAAAAAATAATTCTGAATGCATTAGCTGGCCACCATATTTTATCATCCCTTTATATTCTTTTGATTGTTCTTTTTGTAACTTCAAGGCAACTTTCATCTTTCTGACATGCTGGATTTCGTGGGCAATGCCAGATTTACTTTGAATCGGGGTTTCCGGTTTTCATAACAGAAAAACATGTTTTATTATTCATGCAATTCCTAAGGAAAGCAAGGCTTAAATTTATCTCATCTAAGTATACTGATAATGGTTCTGAATTTTACAAAGTCACATCCAGCTGTCCTTTACTGGTGTCTTCATATTCCATCCACTGCCACCAGCATAATCATATAGGTATATATATGAGGGTTGAATGAAAAGTAATGCCTCCACCTTCTTTACTTGGGTTTGGATGGGACTGTTTTAATAAATCAAATGAAGAAATAATTCTTAGAATGTGCTCTTTAACTACTACTATTCACTGTTCCACATAATCATCAGACAATTGGTTACATTTCTGAACAAGTTTTCTGAAGCCGTCACAGAAGAAGTTGACATTCTGTTTCCGCAACCAGCATCTCACAGGTATCTCAATGTACCCATCATGCACAGATCTTCCGATAGCCAAGCAAAGCAATAATGTGACCTACATGTTCTTGTGAAATGCCGATTATGCTTGAAATTTCTGTCTGAGTGATACGACGATCGTCCTGAATCAATCTGTCAACCTTTTGCTTGTGAAACTTGGTTGCTGTCACAGGACGTCCTACTCTTTGTTTGTCATGCAAGTCAGATGTTCCCATCTCAACATCTTCAAACTTACTCGCCCAACGATGCACAGTACACACATCAACACAATCACCATAAACAGCTTGCATTCTCTGATTAATTTCCTTTGGGGTGACACCTTCTGCTGTCAAGAATTCAATGACTGCACATTGCTTAAGTCACATTGACCAAGTCTGTACAGGGTTCCATATTTTGCACTTTTAACAAGTCAGTACCTGCCACATACCAGTACTGCTATTTGTTGAGGAGTTACAAAGGTAGAGGCATTACTTTTCATTCAACACTTGTATTTTCCAATCAGTCATTTCTCCCAATCAGCCATTTCCAACCAACCATTTTTTATCCATCTTTTTTTTTTTTTACCATTCATCTTTTCAAGCGATTCTCCATGCTTACTATACCTCTTAACCTCAGCTCTGAGACCTCCAGTCCATTCCCTGATCTCGCTTCTATTCTCACATCAGTGTTGGAGGAAGTCTTCCCACAATAATGCCCCTGTTACTGTGATGTGAACAAGTTGATCATAGCTCACCAGAAACATTTTGCATCAACATCTCAAAGCGTCGGTTTGGGCTTGCATAGAAAGCTTCTACATTTTACAAACCCATAATTTAAAACAGTTAACGGGGTCTTTTAGAATATTTTTGCTAGTCTAAGTGCATAGCAGTTGTTGCTTTTTGACTAGTAAATTTAAAAAATGCATTACAAAAAGCATGAAAAGTGCAATTTGCCGCCCCCCCCCCTTTAAAAAAAATCTGAATATATTATTGGCTGGAAGATGTTTTGTACAGCCACTAGAACATACATGGGGAAACTTCGGTCCTCCAAGTGTTTTGGACTTCAACTCCCATAATTCGGAATTGTGGGAGTTGAAGTCCAAACACCTGGAGGGCCAAAGTTTACCCATGCTTGCACTAGAAGCACAGCTTGAAAATTGGAGCTCAAATATTTGTTGGTCTCTATGTATAATAGAATGTGGTATAATAGTATAATCCAGAAAAACTGAATAGAAAAGCTTGGTCTCCAAAAATTATTAAAATAATGCAAAGTAATACCAGAGACTTTTTTTCAAGACAGTTTCTGACAGGCAGCATGAGGGATTTTGGAAGTTGTAGTGTATAATGAATTCTCCCCATAGCTCTGGGTTAGATATACTAAGGTTGAGATATGTTTATTACACAATTCAATGCATTCAGGAATTCCAACAATTGTCTGTTCAGGCAGAAGGGATTTCAAAACTCCTTTGAAAGAAAGCAATGTTTTGGTTAATAGCACACATTGCCAGGTGATTGTGCCTCTTAAAATATGGGATGGCATCATGTGGAATTTCAGGGCTAAACCAAACCTGGATGCTATGCAAAGCCGGTGCAGAGACAATACATGGCGTGCATCAAGGAGCAGTGGGACAGCCCCCTTATCTTTAACTGAGATAAATATGTATAAATATGTGAGAGGAAGCCACAGGGAGGAGGAAGCAAGCTTGTTTTCTGCTTCCTTGGAGACTAGGACACGACACAAGGGCTTCAAACTACAAGAAAGGAGATTCCATCTGAACATAAGGAAGAACTTCCTGACTGTGAGAGCCGTTCAGCAGTGGAACTCTCTGCCCCGGAGTGTGGTGGAGGCTCCTTCTTTGGAGGGTTTTAAACAGAGGCTGGATGGCCTCTGTCAGGGGTGATTTGAATGCAATATTTTTGCTTCTTGGCAGGGGGTTGGACTGGATGGCCCATGAGGTCTCTTCCAACTCTTTGATTCTATGATTCTATTCTATGATTCTATGAGATAAATTGCATAGCACTGATCACTTACATGTATGGCTGCTTTGTAAACAGATATTTAAATTTCTAATTTACATTGCTGCATAGCAACATTTTGTATTGAGACTTACTTGGAACCCAATTAGTTGCAAAAAGTTGAGTATGGACTCAGATCGAGAGATTTTGGAGAGAACTGGGGAAAGGATTGGTTGCTGTTTGATAGAGGAAGTTCTTTTCATATAATTGGGTCATGCCAACAAGTGTTTTCAACAAAATTTTGGAAGCTGGCGGATTTTTCTTGGCTTTTCTCTTTGCTGTTAAGTGTCAGAATGACAATGAGATAGCAAGGTTTATATTTATGTTTCATTGCAACTCTTGCTGCCCTGCTTGCCAAAAAAAGGATGAAAATCTATTTGTGCCTGAAAGCACTTTAGCCGTGTGAACCAGGCATGAGCAAACTTGGGCCCTCCGGGTGTTTTGGACTCCAACTCCCACAATTCCTAACAGCCTGAAGTCCTTTCTTTTTCCCCCTGAGGGGGAAAAGGAAAGGGCCTCGGGCTGTTAGAAATTGTGGGAGTTGAAGTCCAAAACACCCGGAGGGCCCAAGTTTGCCCATGCCTGGTGCAATCATACAAGGACATATTTTTGAACACGTTTGAGCATTCTTTGCATAAGATCGTCAACATTGGAGATGCAGCTTTGAGAAAAAGGGTGCCTGGATTTAGATGCTTTAGATTGGTATTTTGCTAGATCTTCCTTCACCAACCTGGCACTCGGTTGTTGTGCTAGCTGGGGATGATGGGCCTTGTTCTCCATGACACCTGCATTGGGGAATCTTCTTAGTCCACAAATGTGGACCTGGGCTACTTTCTATTCATAGCAAGGTGTTTGACGAGCAAATACCAAAAATTTAATTTTAGTACAATTACAAAATGGTAGAAAAAATATATTTGGGTTGTTGTAGGTTTTTCCGGGCTATATGGCCATGTTCTAGAAGCATTTTCTCCTGATGTTTTGCCTGCATCTATGGCAAGGAGAGAATGCCTCTAGAACATGGCCATATAGCCCGGAAAAACCTAAAACAACTCAGTGATTCCAGCCGTGAAAGCCTTCGACAAAAATATATTTGTTGATAAGGAGCAGTTTGTGTATCTAATACGTTCCTTCGCCATCCTCTTGGTAAACAGTTGGGTTTTAAAGATGTTATTTTTTATATAAATATAAATGGTATACTGTACAATGTGTCTGAATGTCTTTTTCTCTAGGAGGCAAAACTCTTATCTCCCGATATTCTGCCCATTTGATGATGGGATTTTGTTGTCCTTTTTCTGC